AAAAACTCATGTATATGTCATGTCAATGTTTGACATAATAGAAACTTGGGGTGTAAATGCACGATCGAGGGTCAATGACTGACTTTCCTTGGAAAGTTCAAGTTTCACTCGAGCGTCCTTAACTTTTGACCCCACAATAAAAATGGTTTGAGTCCGCCCCTGCTTTGATATTAATTAATTTTATAACATATGGTGATTGAAATTCGTTTCAAGAATTTCCTAGTTTAAAATATTTGTTCTACCAAATGGCCTTCAAGTTTTTTGGAAGATTTTCATGCACGAATCTTCCTTAATAGTTTACACTAAAGTCCATCGTTTCACTGTTACGGATTTTATTAATGCTTAATGGGAGGTTGATTATTTGAATTCAAAATCGAATTACTCTCTCAGAACCATTTCAAAAGGTACTAGGTCCGGTCAGTCCAAATTAATGATCCATGACCCATAGTCCAACAATTTATTTATTTACTTTTTCAAAAGACATGGATATTGGATATGGTATTGTCTAGAATTATCTTGTGAGGCTTTCAATATTCTTGATACTGGTAGTAAGCTATATATGGCTATAACCTCTCTTTGTTTAATATCAAATTGAAAGGAAAAATGAAATCATAAAGAGCGAACTTATTTATCATTTGAAATAATACAATGAAAAAAATATAGAGAATGTGAATAGAATAGATATACAATTAGAAACATGGCTAATCTGCTTCGGTATCACATAGCTAGGCTTGGAGTAAACTAGTTTATGGCACTACAGATCCTTCTTATGATCCCATTTTGGCCTGTGAGTGGTTCAATGTCCCCCATTTTGATAATGGCATTTCCAAAATCAGACAAGAATGTTCTTGGATTTCTACTGTACTCGGAAACGATACTGTCTGTTGGTCCTCCACCAAATAGAACTTGGTCTGATTGAAGGAGTCCCTTTCTCTGCATCAGATTCTTAAAGTAATTGTTATCAAATGAATTGGGTGTCACCAAATCAAGTGCTGCCAAATTGTTGTCTCCACTGTTTGTAGGGCATCCGCGCCTACGAGTGCTGGCAAACCCGGCATCAATGTCTGTTCCATTGCTGTAAATCCTATTGCGGAAAAGAAAACACTGTGCTTGGCCTATCGTGTGTGCTCCTGCGTTTTTACGTTGCATGTCAGTTCGCTGTGTCCCGAAAATATCTAGCAAATATTGTGACTGAAATTAATTTTCATATCACGTTTTTAATTACCTGATAAGGCCACCATGTCTCTGGTACTAAGTCCTTTGTTGGCGAAGGCAGAAATAAGGGTACCGAGATCGTTAAAAGGAGTCGGAAGATCAGTGTTAGCCACTGAACGACTTGCCGTAGTAGAATCCCTTCTTCCAAGATTTACATTCCATGATGGGCCACCAACCTGTGGTTCACAAAAAATATGAGTTTAGGTATTACAATACACCCTCTCAAGTACACAGATTTCATGGCTCAATCGAAAAAACAAAGAAATGTGTGTACTTACAGCAGCTGAGGCATCCCGGGCCGCTACAGCGAGTATGTCTGCGCAGGAAACAACTCCAGGACATATCCGCTCAACTTCTCTCTTGGCAGCCTCTATGACTTCATAACCTCTTACAGAATTAACATTTGGTAATGCAGTTTTCTCACTTTCTATAGAAGGGGTTTCGTCTAATAGGATTGACGCATCACAGCCCTGAACAAAACAATCATGAAAATGGAGGCGAATGAGAGAGGCTGCCATCCGGCGCTCTCTGGACACTGCTCGCCGGATTGAGGTGCGGATTACACTCAGTGCATTTGGACATGTACTGCTATAAAATGATGGAGAAAGTTGAGCTTCACATGGTGTGTGAAGCAAGACGAAGACTAAAATAGAAACAATTGCATTGCGAAAGAAAGATATGGAATCCATTAACAAGTATATAGAAT